TGTGAAGGACCTTCGAACCAGAGCAGTCATCCTCAGGTGTAATAGCTCCGGTGATTATACCCTATTGGCGCCCCTTCTCCCAGCCCAACCGCAGCCGCCCTCCTTGCTCACACCACACCTGTCTCTTCTACTACATGGCATCGTCGTCTCGGTCACCCGGGAAACCCTGTCATGTCTCGTCTTTTTTCTTCCAATTTCATTTCTAGTACCAAAGACCCACGGGAGTCTCTTTGTAATGCTTGTCAATTAGGCAAACATTATCGCTTACCTTTCTTTACTAGTCATTCTATTACCGTTGCACCTTTTGAAATTATTCATGCTGATTTATGGACCTCTCCTATTTCTAGTATTTCTGGTTTCAAATATTACCTCGTGTTAATAGATGATTTCACCCACTATACATGGACTTTCCCACTACACTATAAATCTGATGTTTTTTCACTGTTCCAACAGTTTCACAAACTTATACAAACCCAATTTCAGCACCCCATTAAAGCTTTACAATGCGATAATGGACGTGAATTCAAAAACACCGATTTTCAAACATACTTTGCCAAACACGGTATCTTACACCGTTTCTCATGTCCCCACTCTTCACCTCAAAACGGACATGCCGAACGCATGATCCGCACCATCACAAACATGATCCGCTCACTTCTCTTTTAAGTTTCCCTTCCCCCCACCTATTGGGTTGAAGCCCTTCATATGGCCACACATCTCATCAACATCCTCCCTACCAAATTCACACAAAATCGCACGCCCCATGAATCCCTATACAAATCAAAACCCACCTACTCTCACCTTCGTGTCTTTGGTTGTCTCTGTTATCCTAATTTAACCGCCACCACCCCTCACAAACCTGCCCCTCGCTCTACTCCTTGTGTCTACCTTGGTCACCCCTCATCGCACAAAGGCTATCGTTGCCTCGATCGGTCAACCGGTCGAATCATTATCTCCCGTCATGTGATCTTTGATGAAAGTCGTTTTCCATTTGATGAATCCACCGACTCATCCCACAACTCCCCCACCTCTAATATGACCGAACCCCTGCACCCACTTCTCTTCCTTCCTCAGCCTACACAAGTCCAACCCACTGTCTCACACAACTGTCCCAACAGTTCGTCTAACAACACTACAGAACCACCTACTGTCCCATCCAACTGTCCCAACAGTTCGTCCGACAGTCCTCCCTCAACTACACCCATGCCCCTCCACCCGACTGCACCTCCACACCCAGCAGAACCACAGCCTCCCCCTCCCGCTTCCTCACCCCCACCCAACCATCCTATGTTGACCTAATCCCCTTTTCTCTTACCGTGTCTACCTAATCCCCAACTCCCACTACATATCGACATGCCCTCCTTGATCCAAACTGGCGTATGGCCATGCTTGAGGAATATACTGCTTTGATTAAAAATAACACATGGGATATTGTGCCCCGCCCCCCTTCTACTAATGTTATCAGTGGCAAGTGGTTATATAAGCAGAAATTGAAGGCTGATGGTTCATTGGAACGGTATAAAGCACGATGGGTTGTTCGCGGTTTTGATCAACGCCCTGGTATTGATTTCGATGAAACATTCAGTCTGGTGGTCAAACCAGCAACTGTTCGGACAGTTCTCAGCATTGCCACATCTCACTCTTGGCCGGTCCATCAACTCGACGTTAAGAATGCATTCCTCCACGGCAATCTCTTTGAAACAGTGTACTGCGAACAACCACCGGGCTTTGTCGACCCTACTCGTCCCACTCATGTATGTCGTCTTCGAAAGGCTCTTTATGGTCTCAAGCAGGCACCACGTGCGTGGTACAAGAGATTTGCCGGCTACATTACCTCTCTTGGATTTATCGAGTGCAAATCGGACACCTCCATTTTTGTGTATCGCACTGGATCTACAGTTGCTTACCTCCTCCTGTACGTTGACGACATAGTTCTGACAGCTTCCAGTGCAGCCACTCTTCAGTCCATCATTACCAAACTCCACCAAGAATTTGCTATGAAGGACCTCGGCCCCCTACGCTACTTCCTTGGCATATCTGTTACACGCTCGTCCGAAGGGATGGTCCTCTCTCAACGTAAATATGTCGAGGAGATCCTTGAACGTGCTAAGATGACTTCATGCAATCCGTGCCTCACTCCAGCGGATACAAAAACAAAGCTTTCTGCCAACTCTGGCCCCTCTATCGCCGACCCTTCACTTTACCGAAGCCTTGCCGGCGCTCTTCAATATCTCACTTTCACACGGCCAGACATCTCTTATGCCGTGCAACAAATTTGTCTTTTCATGCATGATCCAAAGGAGGCTCACATGGCAGCCCTCAAAAGAATCTTGCGATATCTTCGCGGCACTCTTGACTACACGCTTCACTTCTACCGCTCTAGAGACATGTCTCTCACTGCGTACTCTGATGCCGATTGGGGTGGATGCCCTGACACTCGCCGATCCACTTCGGGTTATTGTGTCTTTCTAGGCGACAACCTTATCTCCTGGTCCTCTAAACGGCAAGTGACAATTTCTCGCTCAAGTACGGAGGGCGAATACCGGGCTGTAGCTAATGTCGTTGCTGAAACGACATGGGTGCGTAACCTCCTGACCGAACTACTCTGTCCACCGACGATCGTCAATATCAGGGTTGTCTATCTGTCCAGCAACCCGGTCCAACATGCGCGTACCAAACACGTGGAACTTGACATACACTTTGTCCGGGACAAAGTCGCCTTGGGATACGTCCGTGTCCTCCACGTCCCGTCCACACATCAGTTCGCTGACGTCTTCACCAAAGGACTTTCGGCCCCTCTCTTTTGAGAATTCGTCTCCAGTCTGCACGTTCGCCCATCTCCCGTTTCGACTGCGGGGGTATAACAGCAGTATCTTTTATGTATCTTTATTAATATATATATTATAGATAAATACTGTATTATTGGTATGTATATCTCCTAGTTCCCTTGTGTAAAGAGTTAGGGTTTTCACACATGTAATATATATATCACAATAAACGTGAGAGATATTATTTCTCTCTTCTCTCCAAATATTCTCCTTCTATCAATAACCACTTGCAATACTTTCTTCCCCGAATGAATCGATAAAATCGGAGTCTTCAGCGCCATAACTCGGGAACGATTCCAAGGCTGGTTCATCTACATTCGCTGTAAACATAGCTGAGCCGTTAGGATGCTCAACGTACGACGTACCTTCTAGTATCTTTGTACCAATCATAAGTTTCTTCCCCCATTTGGTCACTTCGTAAGAGATCGAAATCAAGAAAAGGGCCTCTCCGGCTTTTTCTTCAGACACCCTCGTCGGAGGCCAACCGTAAGCCCCTCCCCATAAACCAGCATACTTGTGACATTCGTCGGGAGGCTCCATAGGCATCTTATAGAGAATAGATTGATCTTCGTCCATATGGGGCCACGCCATATGAAAACTTAATTCCATAGTTGCACCTCGTAAACACAACCCAACCCTATCGCTCGATCGAAGAAATTGATGGAGTGTACTCTGATTTTCTTGACCGCCATCTGTTGAGCTCGATTTCCTTAGTATCTGTTCGATCACCTGATCCCCGTCACCTGCCTCACTTGATCCGAATTCTGTGGGATTCGACATACGCTCGTATATTTGTAAAAGCAACAATCTCCTTTCGTGTAAGACTGTAAAATCTTGTTGAGAATCAACCTCGTCGGTTCTCAAGGGAGGAAATAATATCGCGGTCGCTGTATCTGGAAAAATACCGCGGACTTGTCTAGTGACAAAATCGAGGAGCATCTCTCTGTCATCAGATTCCAAACGGCTAAAAGGAATTTCAGTCCCCTTATCTATTTCATCTCGTTGATGCAGAGCCTCCACCTCAAGCAAAAGCACATTACAATTTCTATGGACTGATTTAAACAATCCGGGGTAAACATAATCTGCTCCTTGCTCCCTCCCGTGTGAAAAGAACGCTGTCGAGCCATCGGATTTGCAGAGGATTTCGAAGACAGACGCCCACAAAAGAGGACCGTCTTCAAGGTCTAAAGGACCGATCGTTTGCGGGATTATCTTGCATCCAACAACTGATAAAAAACCAGGCATAACATATACTACATTGCCGAGCTCAGGGTTCTGGTGAACCCAAATGCCGATCAACGGATGAATACTCACCAAGAACCGACAGAAAACATATCATCAGGCAAAGCTAAAAGCAAGCTTGATCCACAAAGATCAGACGACATAATGGACTACTTAGTCGAGAATAAACGAAATCTTTTTTTATGTGGTAAACAGATTCAATCTTACAAAAAAACAGTCATTCGTACGGCGGTGAAAGATCACAAACTGAAACTACACCTCGATTCAATCAATTATTGCACTGAATACCAAAAAGGGTATAAATTCCTTTCAAGAACCCGTTCTCTATTCAAGAATCGGAAACAAAATAGAAAATAAAATATAACCTGACCTGGAAGCAATAGCCATGCATCAGATTCTCACAGAAACAATTGACATGGAAATTTACACAAGTACATGTAGCAAAACTGCTGTCAGCCTTGAATGAGAGAAGGTAGTACAGGGGATTGACTTTGTTATTTGAAACTAATTAAACTTAGTGGGATCAGAGTAACCCACCCACGGAAGGAACATAATTGGTCAAACTTCCGTTTACTATGTCAAAAGTCAACCATAATGGATTGCTTGAAGGATTCAAATTTCAACTACTACTTGTTACAATTTTCAAATATGATCTTTCTATTGAGAGAAAAACATGTGAGAAAATGTATGCAAACAACATCTCGATCCAGAAATCGAACTAAAATTGTCAAACTTCATTCGTAAGATTTGAGATTGAAATTTGAAAGTGTCCAATTTGGACTAAGAACGAAAAAAGAACGAGAATGGTCTAATCAGCTCATTCTTGGTGTCGAATAAACAAAGTAATGGCTACATAATTTTCAATTTTCTACATCTTAAATTGCAGATTGAAGCAGAAAAAAAATATCATTTATATTTCACAAAGATTGGCGAAAAATACATTACTAACCAAACTTACCGTTCCTCAAATTAATCAATCTTTTCAGCATCAAATTTGTCTATACACATCAGATGCATTTTACCAAAACTCAATCGCCATATCATATTCAGTACAGTCGAAGAATATATGGATCCTCTTGCATCAATGAGAAACTTCTTTATTTGCCAACACCACAAAAAAGAATTAAATAACGCGGGACTAACCAAAGCTCAATGTCATTGGAACCAAACAAACACCAGCACACACAGTCTTAATAGATCGTTTTGCCTGTCACATATAAACACGCATTACCATCAATGACGATTTTCCAAAGATAAATTTGGGAAAATTCATAATAATATTCTGGATTTCTTACAACAAGTGAAGATCTTCAAAATTTCTAATTTTAACTAATTCCAGACTAGTTAAGGGTTACTGCATTCAACGTCAACGATTAAAGTGAACCTACTTACAAAGTTCTCAATCATATGGAATTAAGGAAGAAACTGGAAGAACAACATTTTATAACTAATAACGGATTTGGAAGAGAATGCTATTAGATTTTCAGTCGCAAAATGTTTGAAATGCTGCACACTACACAAGCATGAAGACGTCAAATACAAAGTGTTTCAAACATTTCTAAACCCGATCCCCGTGAATTCCACCAAGAATTATGGAACGCCTCCAAGATGTCACCTTGTATTCCTCTTTTTTCATAGTCTATAGCAAAACGGAATTTAAAAATTTACAAATTATCCTAACAATATCGCACAGGACAATAATTATTTGCACATGAAAAATGAAACATGTAAAATATTACAACTTCAAACCAGAAAAATAACAGCACCCAACAAGTATTATTTGCACAATTCCATTATGCACATCTTGAGATACAATTACGAATTGTACAATTACTCCTATTCCACATCTTGCGGTCTTTAAGTTTTCAATACATTATCCACAACCATTAGTTCAAATATTTTTTTACCTTTCCGATTAGGTGCATAGATAAAAGAAGCAATGGCTTACAGAAAAGCATACCTTGCAGAAAACAGAGTTGTTTCAAGAATCTAAAAACTCAGTGTAAGGATTCGTGTACATCCTTGATGGATACACAAAGTTGGAAGTTGGCGGCAGAGGAGGCACTCTTTTACCTCTCCTTAAAAGATCCGCTAAGTCGAACCTCTGTAAGGTCAAAACATCCCTCGACTCCTCGTATATGAAAACAAGCAATCCATTTGGAAGAACAAAAAGTGAACCAGGTTTAGAACCAGGATATCTGAAACCATAACCACTCGCAATACCTACTCCCCTGAAGGAATCAATAGGATCGGAGTCTCCATCACTGTCACACGGGAATGATTCCAAGGCGGGTTGACATATATTCATTGTAAACATAGCTGAGCCATTAGGACGCGCAACATAAGATGAACCTTCTAATATCTTGGTAGCAATCATACATTGTTTCCCTTCGAGCACTTCATAAGAGATCAAAATCAAGAAGAGGGCCTCTCCGGATTTTTCTTCAGATAGTCTTCTCGGAGGCCAACCATAAGTCCCTCCCCATAAACCAGCATACTCGTGCCATTCCTTGAGAGGCTCAGTAGGCAACTTATAGAGAATAGATTGACGTTCGTCCATATAAGGCCACGCTTTATAATAATCCAATTCCATAGTAGCAGCTCGTAAAGACAATTCGTCCCTATCCCCTGATCGAAGAATTTCATGAAGTGTACTCTGATTTTCTTGACCGCCATTTGTTGAGCTCGATTTTCTTAGTATCTGTGTGATCACCTGATCCCCAACACCTGCATCACTTGATCCGAACTCTGTGGGATTCAAAGCACGCTCATGCATTTGTAAAAGCAACAATCTCCTTTCATGTAAGACTATAAAATCTTGTCGAGAACCAACCTCGTCGTTTCTCATGGGAGGAAATAATATCGCGTTCGCTGTATACGGAACGAAATCTCGGACTTGTCTAGGTCTAGGGACAAGATCGAGGAGTCTCTCTCTATCATTAGCTACCATTTGGCTAAAAGAAATTTCAGTCCCTTTTTGTTTGACCATTCCTTGTGATATTTCATGATCAGAGCTCGTATTTCCTCCATCCAGTTGATGCAGAGGCTCCACCTCAAGCAAAAGCACATTACAATTTCTATCGACTGATTTAAGCAATCCTGGGTAAATATAATCAATTCCTCGCTCCCTCCCGTGTAAAAGGAATGCTGTGGTGCCGTCGGATTTGCACATAATTTCAAATACAGGTGCCCATAAAATAGGGCCGTCTTCAAGGCCTGAAGGACCTATCTCTTGCGGGATTATCCGGCATCCAACAACTGATAAAAAACCAGGCATAGCATATTCTACATTGCCGACCTCCAGGTTCCTGTGAACCCAAATGCCCATCAATGGTT